GGCACAGGTGTCTAAGGCGCCGCAATTCGTTGTGCAGAGTTGCGTCCCTTGTAGACGCCAGGAACCTATGTTTGTGGGTTCGAATCCCGGTTCGCCCCGATTATGTTTCTAGGTTTGTCAGCACCATACCTGTGCTTGTGGGTTTCGCCGAAGTGGTAAACGTCTGAGACCTGCATCACTTCGGGCTTTCCTCCCACATTAAGCTGACACGCAGCGATATAACTGGAATATTGTTAAAAGAGGCGTTAGACACAATGCACTCACTCACTCAGACCCCCCCCCCCCCCCCCCCCCCCCTCCCCCCAACACACACACAAACACACACCACCACCACCACCACCACCACCAACACCATCATTGGCGACTCGAACAAGGCGACTCCGGTCGACAGGCTCGGAGACCTGGTTGATTGCGTGTCATCGTATCCAGTTGTGTACGATGCTCACAATATCAATCACTACTTTGTTTGGTTTTTGGTCGTACAGCTGGAATTGGGTGTGGATTCAGACAACAACAATCAAGCTGAAACACGTGTATTTTGGCAAGATGCCGATTACCTGTTTCAAATTATCGATACCCATTAAAATACGAACAGAGCAGATGCTTATATAATCTAATATTCACATCAAGCAATGAGTATACTATATCGTTTCTGCCGTGTGCCGTTTTCAATACAATAAATAACAATATTCAAATAAGTGAACCATCCTGAACATATTTGTGTAATTTAGCCTTCACGCAATGCCCATTGAGCGGCAGATATAGTGTTACTACCGACGTATACTCTGTAAGCAGTAATTATAAAGGTTCATGCTTGGGTGCTTGTTGGTCGTTTGTTCCTACGTGTAGAGTGTATGTGTGTAATGGCAGTGTTGTGGATCGATGTAATCACTCTGAAAGCTGGCTGTTACGGTAACACTGGCCTTGGCGGATTTATAACAAATGACAAATGGTACGGTGGTCAAGAGGGGTGACAAATTGATTTCATTTCCCCTGACAGTAAAATGGCTGACGAATACGAGATTCTACTTTGCGGTAGGTTTTTTACGAATATTGCATACTACTAATGTATTTTGTCATGAACACAGGTCGATGGGTTGACCTACTTCTGTTTATTGCACTGTGGTAGTCGTGTAGTTATTCATCGGTTACATGTGATGTGTCATTATCAACATATGCACGCTCTTGTCTGGTTCAGACTCGACTATTTACAGGTCGCTGTGATATTGCTGGTATATTGCTGAATACGTAGTTAAACAACATTCACTCACGGTGTCGCTTACTCTTTAATTATACACCTGATACTTACCATGACATATAACGCGCGAATAGATCTTGTAGATTACTCGATATGTTGGTAGACAGGTCGTCGCACACTTGCGTGCTTAACACATGCTACACTTGAATTTCAGTGTAAAATCCGTTTTCAGATTATTTTGAAGGAAGAGAAAAAAGGTGAGTGAGTGGGTGACTGAGTTTGGTTTAACGCCTCTTTTAACAGTATTCCAGTTATATCGCGGCGTGTCAGCTTAATGTGGGAGGAAAGCCCGAAGTGTTGCAGGTCTCAGACGTTTACCACTTCGGTGAAACCAACGAGCACGGGTATGGTGCTGACAAACCTAGAAACATAATCGGGGCGAACCGGGATTCAAAAATCTAATGTTTTCCTCATTTGGAGCAGGGGGCGGTATGGTAGCCTAGTGGTTAAAGCGTTGGCTCGTCACGCCGAAGACCCGTGTTCGAATCCCGACGTGAGTACAATGTGTAAAGCTCATTTCTGATGTCCCCCGCCGTGATATTGCTGGAATATTGCTTCAAGCGGCGTAAACCCATACTCTCTCACTCACTCACTCACTCACTCTCTCACTCACTCACTCACTCACTCACTCACTCACTCACTCACTCACTCACTCACTCACACACACACACACACACACACACACACACACACACACACACACACACACACACACACATACATACATTCATTTGCTTCAGGTCGCTATCGATCAGCACAACAGATCTGCTGCAATTATTGGTAAATCTATAAACGACCCCAATCTGTGTGAATTGTCCATTGGCTTTAGATGACATTGAAACCAATACTAAAAGGTGTCGGTATTGTCTAACACGTATTTGTCGACGTGAGTTTTATGTGACAAAATGGTGAACAAATTATTCGAGAGTGGGGTGTGTGAGAGTGAGAGATTGGCGTATACATGTATCTATGTTAAATATCCGGCGTTATGATCACATTACCGCTAAGATCGCTCTGTGAAACGGGGCCCTGGACCGTATTGAGTGCTGACTGAAATTGTCTAATGTACTTTAAAAATTAACCCGATGATGAATACGTAACAGCTGTTACACTGAGCCGTGCTGGGGAAGATTGGATAGAAAGCCGAACAGATTTAACAGTTTCAATTAGGTTTCCATGTCCGCCTCAGACGAATACGCCTGACAGATACATGCTCCATTATCACTAGACTGACACATACACTGCTGGGCAAAAGAAGTATCACTAGAAAATTGAATTTGACCAACAGATAATTTTACAAACGCTAGCTGCAAACAGTCGACGAAACACTGCAAAGTCAATGTCTAAAACACACATATGATACCCGTTTTAAAATCAAAACATCACCATTAAATAACCATTTCTTGTTTGCTTCACTTTGGCCACCATCAAACATGGGTGTATCCTTCTTTTGTCCGGTAGTTTAGTTTACGAACTCCATTGGTACACGCTAAATGTCTCTGTTTTTATTTTCTTGTTGCCCTGACGTGGATTGTAACTAGCGACACTTGCCTATCGGCATCATCTGGATAGGTTTTAATGGGAACATACGCGGATATTCCCCCGTCACTAGGCGAGCAATACCACGTCCCTGTATCAGCGTCGGGCTGGCTACTTGTCAACCTGCCCTCTTCAGTTAAAGCGCCTGGTTTCACAATGTCACTGTGACCTGCGTTCGGCACGTGTGTAGTGTGATATTCCAACCAAAGACGTACATACAAAACTTCTCACATGGACAATGAAATCTGTGTGCCATATGTATGATGAGTGTCACCCAGGTTTGGACCCTGTTTGTACCGAACCCCGTTAGTACGGATACCTGTTAGTATGGAACCCCCGTTTTCCGGACGCTTATGACACTTCGGTTCACCCTTTTATCCGGAAAGTTGTTAATCTCGTGGATTTCACTGGAACAGTACCGTCCGGAAAAACGGAGTTCCTCTTTAATTTTGAATGTCGAGTTTCATTCAAGGATGTCAGAAAAACATTACTTGCTCAAAAAATTTACAAACAGTGTACGAACATGTTCTTAAAAACGTGTAATTGGTGATCCCATTAACTCCAATCTGGTTATTGTAAATATCCGCAGGGCTTTTTCTTTTGTACCATGTTTTGCTTCAGCTTAATTAAATTATTTAAAGTTCTGTTCTGGCGCGTACGCCTACGGAGTAATTACCCTACTTCTATGTGTGCTGTATGTAAAGTGTATATGTATTTTGGTCTCGTACTTCATGTTTAGTCTCAATTTAGTAAACAATGCCCCTGAACCACTGAAAGTACCGTGTTTCCTCTATTAGAGGCCCGGGCTTCTATTTATTTCGGACAAGCCTTTGACCCGGCGTCAATTAGAGGCCCGGCGTCTATTGGAGGCCCGGCTTCTATTAAAACCCCGGAAGGGAAAGGGAGTCCTCATTGTGTAATTTAGGTCCCCAAAAAGGATCATTAATTGTATAAAATGATCGACCCGGCGTCTATTAGAAGCCCGGCTTCTATTTTTTGCACTGAACAATTGACCCGGCTTCTATGAGAGGCCGGTGTCTATTAGAGGTCCGGCGTCTGATAGAGGAAATACCGTTAGCAGTGTTGATCTTATTTTAAGTCTGATACGATGAGCATCAGTTACGATATAATTCTTAGCCCATATACGTAATTTGATCATTTGCTTTGTGATAAATTGTTTTTAAATATAACTTTGTATTCATGACTAAAGTGTGTATATGTCAACTTGTTCTCGTCGCTATATTGCTCAAATAATGACGATGTAACGTTAAATTTAAACACTCACTCACTCACCCATTCAACCACCCACCCACCCACTCACTCACACACCCACCCACTCACTCACTCACTCACTCACCCACCCACTCACTCACCCACTCACTCACTCACTCACTCACTCACTCACTCACTCACTCGATCGCCCGCCCACCCACCCACCCACCCACCCACTCACTCACTCACTCACCCACCCACCCAACTCACCCACTCACTCACTCACTCACTCAAACACCCATCCACCCACCCAACCATCCACTCATCCACCCACCCACCCACCCACTCACTCACTCACTCACTCACTTCTAAGCACCATCACCTTTCCAAATGTTTCACCAACGACATAAACTTAATAACGACCTGTGCGAATTTGTGTTTTCCTCTCACACGGAGTTGACACGTCTTGATGAAATATAGTTAATCTTAATCCCTGCATCTTCATTTACAAAAGGGTCAAACAACAATGTATATTAAACGTAGGTTAACGCAACAATGATATCCTGCCGCGAAGAAAGGCCTTCATCAACAACACGCTTGTGTCGTGCGTATATCCTACGTCTCAATTTGCTACCATGCACAAAGCAAATTATACACACTGTCAGTGTTCTTTCTTGTGTTGCAATAGTAGCATTTGTACAGCGACAAATGCCAGTGTTGTAATTAACCATTCATTACGTCTCCCGCTGTGCGAATCCTACACCTGTTGTTGTGTGGCTGCAATTAGCCAGAAACTATTAGCCCTGGTTCTTATATTATTGTGTCAGCTTTTACGCTATGCCTTGAGCCAATATGGGACTTACACTACGACTCAGGATGACAAGGAAACATCTGTGAATGTGCCATGTCGGAAAGAACACACAAATCGGTTTACCATCACTTGGAAGTATATATTCCGTGTCTAACAATTTTCTTTCAATCCCTGTTGCAGACGACTCCGCACGTGCGCGGCTAGCAGACGACCTAGATGACGGGTCTTTCACGATGGAGGAAGAAGACGCTTCCGGTTTAGAAGAAGGCAAAGATGGCAAAACAACAAACAAGACTTGTTTTCTGAAGATTAAAAAGATCCTGAGGACTATTTACAAGGCGGTGTCGTCCGTTGTAGGGCTGTTAATCCTCCTGGCGGTGTACTCCGTCATCGGGGCTGCGATATTCCGAGCTATAGAAGGTCCACATGAAAAAGCTCACCGGGACAACATCACGTCCAACAGAGAAGAGACTGTGAGAGTGTTGCAGGAACTGTCGTCCAATTTAAGTCAAGGACTGGTGAATGAAACGCAATGGAATCTAGTGGCAAGAGGATTGTTGCTGCGTTACGAGGAGACTGTGGTCATTGCTCAAAAGAATGGCGTGGTCAACTCGACCAAAACCCCCACATGGACGTTCTGGCAATCCATGTTCTTCTGTGGGACCATCTACACCACGATTGGTAAGTGGACCATTTGTGTTTTCTATGATGGATAAAATATGTCGTGAGCTTTTGTGAGAAACCCGCATCTGAGCGATAAAATCAAGGAGCCTTATTTCTCGGATGATTTCAAATCTCGTAAAAAAAACATAGGAAAGTTCTCAATCATGCCTCGAACCGAATTTTGTAAACCTAGTACCTAGAAACGTTACGATGATGACAATCAATGTACATATTTTCGTAAACAAAAAACAGTCGCCCGAAAATAATACTCGAGAATGCAATGCACAGGTCGACAGTTGAGTTGTTTGTCCCTTATTAAGAATTGGATTCGACCGGCGCCTTCTATTTCGCACGTGCAACACAACTTTCTCGTGACAACGTCACGCCCTATTGCTTTCAAAGACAGGTAACAACAACTACCTCATTTCACGTCTTTTGGCATGACGTGGCTTAAGGATCGAACCACCCATCTTAATTCCTCTCTCAGGCAGACGCTATCCATTACACAACAGAGGCGGTCGTAATCATAATTGAGAATGGCTGGTTTGTGGCTGACAAAATTTAGCTGTCGTTGTATTAATTCCTTATCAGTTCCTCATCAATTACTTATCAATTCCTCATCAGTGGTGGATTATTAATCCTTACTAACCTATAAGGGGGCGATGGGGTAGCCTAGTGGTGTAAGCGTTCGCTCGTCACGCCGAAGACCCGGGTTCGATTCCCCAAATGGCTACAATATGTGAAGCCCATTTCTGTTGTCATCCCCCCGTGATATTGCAGGAATATTGCTAAAAGCGGCGTAAAACCATACCCACTCACTCACTACTAATCCAGAAGTCGAATGTTTAAACTCAGTTAGTTCAGCTGACTAGTGGAATCAATATTGAACAGGTGCACGGGTGGCCGAGTCGTTTAGACACGCCAGAAACCTATGATCGTGGGTTCGAATCCCGATTTGCTCCGAATATGTTTCTATGCGTGTCTGCACCATACCTGTGCTCGTGGGTTTCGTGGGTGGAGAATATCTGAGACCTGCAATACTTCGGGCTTTCCTCCCACATTAAGCTGAACACGTGTTCAACGCCATGACACCTCGCCGACTCACTATACTCGGGATCATAAATAACTGTTACTATCAACAAGGGATTACCGGTTTTATGAGTGTTCGTTTGTTGTTTAACGCCGCACTCAGCAGTATTCCAGCCATATGATGGCGGTCTGTAAATAATCGAGTCTGGACCAGACAATCCAATGATTGACATCATAAGCATTAATTTACGCAATTTGGATACGATGACATGCATCAACCAAGTCAGCGAGACTGACCACCCGATCCCGTAAGTCGCTTCTTACGACAGGCACGGGTTTATGAAGACTAGTTCTTCGCCGGATCTTCTCTGGTGTTTGTATGAGTGAGTGAGTATGGTTTTGTGCCGCTTTTAACAATATTCCAGCTACATCACGGCGGTGGGCCTTAGAAATGGGCTTCACACATTTACCCATTTCGGGAATCGAACCAAGGCCTTCGGCGTGACGAGCGAGCGCTTTAACCATTAAGCTATCCCACCACCCGATTTGATAAAGTAACTGTATCTATTATAATAGTTTGTAAGAAATGTAATCACCCAAAGTATACGAAATAGTAAAATTAAAAACGATTAAGTCTTATGTAATATAGTATATGTTCTTATGCTTTATAAGATATTGCCTTGTCCATTTCAAATCAAACCACTCGCAACCTGCATCCCTTCGGGCTGTCCTCCCACATTAAGCTGACACGCCGTGATATAACTGGAATAATGTTAAAAGCGGCGTTAAAACCCAACTCACTCACTCACTCTTATCTCTCTCTCGCTCTCTCTCTCTCTCTCTCTCTCTCTCTCTCTCTCTCTCTCTCTCTTCTCTCTCTCTCTCTCTCTCTCTCTCTCGCTCTCTCTCTCTCTCTCTCTCTCTCTCTCTCCTCTCTCTCTCTCTCTCTCTCTCTCTCTCTCTCTCTCTCTCTCTTAACCTAACTAACGTGTGTACTTAGGGAATAATGTCAACAAACCAATCTTCTAGTTCAAGCAACGTAATGCCACGAAAATTGATGTCAGGAATGATTGGATCAGCACGAAATAAAATGACACTGTGCCAACGCCCTAATCTGTCAAATCTGCCCTTTGACGTTGGAGGTATAAATACATCATGAAACTGTCGACCACCTCCGAGCATGATGAATTGATACAGTTAGCACAAATGTGAATGTTCCGTGAATGTGATAAAATGTGTATAACATATTGATGCACCTTGGGACGTGTTGCGTATGATGTTCTGATGGTAAACGTGTTGATGATAATTGTAGTCATTTCAGGATTGTTTGTTGAACGCCGCACTCAGCAGTATTCCAGGTATATTACGGCGGTAGTGAATAATCCAGTGATTGACATCAATGCGATGCATCAACCAACTCGGGTAGCCTGACCACCCGATACCGTCAGTCGCCTCTTACGACAAGCATGGGTTGCTGAAGACCCGTTCTAATCCTGATCTTCACGGGGTTGTATAATTATACTTTTGTCTTGACCTTGTAAAGTAGGGTGAGTGCAGTTTTACGCCGCGGTTTGAAACGTAGCTCAGTTACATCACTAAAATGGCAGGGTGATGATGGAGGACAGGGGTAAGACCTGTACCACCATGGTATCACAAGCACGGATATGGTGTCGACAAAACTTGAAACATAATTGAATCTAGGATTCGGACCCATGACAATTGGTTTCGGGGGCACGTAAGGGCTATAACTTTGCACAGCGAATTCCCGAGGCCTTACACGACAGGGCCACCCAATATCCAGGTGTATATGGATACATGCCGTCCGTTTTGGACCGGACCGCCTCCGTGGTCTTGTGGTAGAGCGTCCGCCCGGAGAGCGGAAGGTCCAGGGTTCGATCCCGGGACGCGTCATACAAAAAGACGTTAAAAGATTGCACTTGTTGTTACCCTGTCTGGCGCTCGGCATTAAGGGGCTAAAACAAGGACTGGTCGGCTCGGAGTCAGTATACTGTGTCTGAGTGGGGTATTCATGTTAAACTGCGGCATGGTATCTCAGTGAGCTAGCACTATAAATCGGCATCAGTCCGGACTAGTACAAGCAGCCACACACACACATACACGTGCATGCACGTCGCTATATAAGTGCAATAATCTTGGACGCGACGTTAAACCCAACTTCACCTCACCTCACCGTTTTGGACCGTGAAGATCCGGGGAAGAATAGGTCTTCAGCAACCCATGCTTGCCGTAAATGGCGACTATGCTTGTCGTAAGAGGTGACTAACGGGATCGGGTGGTCAGGCTCGCTGACTTGCTTGATGCATGTCATCGTATCCCATTTGCGTAGATCGATGCTCATGTTGTCAATCACTGGATTGTCTGGTCCACACTTATGTACTTACAGACCGCCGTCATGTAGCTGGAATATTGCTGAGTGCGTCGTTAAACAACAAACAAACATAATACCCATGAAAATATTTGGAAGGTCATTACGTACAGCTGTGCTTAGTTTAATGCTTTTATCACAAAGTGCACAACTGACCCTATACCTGTCACGACACGGGTCCGCTACTTTTTTCTGACCAACTTCAGTGCCAGTGTGGTACACACGAGCTGAACACTTTTGGCTCCAAAGACAAGAAATACTTAGTCCATCCCGTCACAGCAGCGTACTTGTCTAGCTGCATCTCAGTCCGGCCCTCAGACCAAGAATCAAGAATCAAAAATTGTTATTGTACAGAACACTCTCGTAGGGCAGGGTACAAACTATCTACATATGGACGTTAATATAACTATACACATGAGAGGTAGCTATACATAATGTACATTATATATAGAGGTATTACATATTTTTTTTCATTTACAGTATATAAACATTTATGTATATCATGAGGTGGCTGGCAGCGCACACTTAGTGTTGATACTGTATTAATAGAATAGAACAGAATTTCTTCTTTTTTTTCTTTCTTTTTTTCTTTTTTTGTTATCGTACAGAAACGCCCACTTTGGACCTGGTACAAAAATAGAGCATTTATATGGGTGTTTGTTTGTTGTTTAACGACGCACTCAGCAATATTACAGCTATATGACGGGGGTCTGTAAATAATCGAGTCTGGACCAGACAACCCAGTGACTGACATCAGGAGCATCGATCTACGCAATTGAGATACGATGACATGCATCAACCAAGTCAACGAGCCTGACCACCCAATCCCGTTAGTCCCCTCTTACGACAAGCATTGTCGCCTTTTACGGCAAGCATGGGTTGCTGAAGACACATTCTACCCCGGATCTTCACGGGTTCATTTATATGGTACAGAGATGAGAACATGGTATATATACACAGCATAAATGCATGAATGTATCTTATCTAATTAGGGCCCTTATGATGGTCTCAGTTTAAACATGCAAAATACAGTCCTTGCAAGACCAGAGAAGATTCCGGGATAGAATAGGTCTTCAGCAACCCATACTTGCCGTAAAAGGTGACTATGCTTGTCGTAAAAGGCGACTAACGGGATCGGGTGGTCAGGCTCGCTGACTTGGTTGATACATGTCATCGATTCCAATTGCGTGGACCGATGCTCATGATACCAATCACTGGATTGTCTGGTCCAGACTCGATTATTTTACAGACCGCCGTCATATAGCTGGAATATTGCTGAGTGCGGCGTTAAACAACAAACAAACAAACAGTCCTGGCAACAAGACTTGACCATTCTTCTGGAGGGTTCATAAATTGTTTTAGGGGGTTGATTTTATCTGCAGTGTTACAAACAGGAACTAGGTTCACAGTGGGGGCAAATAACAGAACGGCTGTTGCTAAAAAATGAGCAAACACCATGTGTGATGGTTGATGTCATGGGAAATTTGGAAACGATTCGTTCACACAAGTCTTATTTTCTAATGCTCATTTGATGGCGTTCCCATACAGACCCCGGAAACTTGCCCCACACAATAGTGTCATTCCCTCCTGTCGTTAAGGAGCT